AAAGCTAGTCATTAGTGCAAATGGTTCATCACCATCAGTTCTGTTATTCACTATGTACTCATTGACATCACTTAATGCATCCGTTGCATTGAAAGTCTTAACTAAAGTCTTTCCACCAAATAAACGTATCTTAAAATAACAAGTAATATTTATTATAGATGCATCGATAAGTCCATAGGCTTGCTGTACCTGTAGCTTGCAAGTGTCATATTCTTTTTTAGGCTGGGCCACAGTCTGAGTCTCGGTTTGATGAGGTGGAGGGTTAGGCTGTGTACTTTGCTTCTCTGCCCTGTCTCTCTCAGCTCTGTTAGCTCTGTCGCGAGCAATATCATCTAAAACCTTCTTTCTATAATTATGAAAGAATAGTTAAGTGAGGGCTATATAGCAATAATGTGTTTCATTAAAAATATTGCCTTATATAATATTAGCATCATCAATATTTTATACATGTACGCATCTGCACTGATACGCTTTTTTCTCAAAAATGGCTAAAAAAATTACCTACAATTTTTATTATGTTTTCTGATGCATATTGATGCACTTATGCTGTGTAGAAAGTTTGAGCTGATTCCAATTAAAAATTTTTGAGTTATGGCCATTTTTTGAAATATGCCAAAATCTGAAAAATACCCTGTACTATAGTCCATGCTTTTTTTCTGAAAAATGGCTTAAAAATCACTCCCAATTTTTATTACATTTTCTAATGCATATTGATATACTTATGCTGTGTAAAAAGTTTGAGCTGATTCTGAATTAAATTTTTCGAGTTATGGCCATTTTTTGAAATATGCCAAAATCTGAAAAATACCCTGTACTATAGCCCATGCTTTTTTCCAAAAAATGGCTAAAAAATCACCCCCAATTTTTATTACATTTTCTAATGCATATTGACGTACTTATGCCGTGTAGAAAGTTTGAGCTGATTCAGGCTTAAATTTTTCAAGTTATGGCCATTTTAAGAAAATTAAGAAATCTCAAAATACATACTCTTGGTCCACTATTGCTGCATACCTGGCAAGCTGTTCTTCCATCTTTTCTCTCCTCTTTTGTTCTGCTATCTTTTTGGCTTCTTTCATTTCCATTTCGTGTCTAATTTGAGTCATTTCCTGGCCAGTCTTTCGCCGAACCTTTTCACGATGTTTGTCTTCTTCTTTCTCTTTTGCTTCTCTCTCTGCTCTTCGCTGCTTTATCTTCTCCTGTAGCCTAGAGAGAAGCAGATATGGAGTAATGATAGTTATTCATATATACATAGTGAAGATTTTATGATAGTCGATTGTAATTAAAAAACAAAAAAATTATTGTAAAATGTGATATTTTGTCTGTAATATGAGTTATTTTTGTAAGGGCATGTGATTAAGTTTTTAGAACAAAAAATTCAGATAAAGGAGTAAATCTCACATCCTAAAATGTATACGGGATTTTATCAATTACAATTTGAAGTACCTTAAAGTGACTTTTATATACAGGTATTATTTCTTTATAAAAATTGCAAATATTAGTAACACATAATGATTAGATATGCCTTATAACTATGTTAACAACAATAATTAACTAATCGCAATTACATGTATTAGCACCCACAAAGTCTACTGAGAGTTAAACTTAAAATTGATATATTTTTTATCTGTAAATTAAAAAGTAGCAAAGTAACTAAATGTGATTGGTCTTACATTTGATTCACTTACTTTTCTGCTTGCTCTTTTCTTTCTTGAGCAGTGAGTGGTTTTATCTCTTCTGTTGATTCGGAGAAATTTACATGCTGCATACGTGCAGCATGAGTCTGTACTTCAATTTCGCTACGTAGTAGCTTACCACACCTATAAACATAAGGTTTAGTCTAATTATAGCTATTATCATTATTATTATTATGTTATTATTATTATCATCATCATCATTATCATCATTATTATTATACTATTATTCAGTGTTTGTCCCAAATCATACTTAAATAGCTTGCTGAGCTGACAAGCACTACAATAGTAGTATATGGGAGCAACTTTAAAAATTCGTAAAAAATGTAACTTTATTTGGAATCAGCTCAAACTTTCTACACGACATAAGTACATGTATATGCATCAGAAAAAAATGGATAAATTCTGTTCTAGTCGTTTTTGGCAAAATTTTGATCGGAATCAGCTCAAACTTTTTACACAACATAAGTACACGTTTCAGGAAAAGTTATAAAATGGAAAATTCTCTCATTTCTAATTTCGGCGAAATTTGGTTGAAGATGACAAGAAGCTGAGAGCACTTGCTACTTACTCATCACATTTCAGTGACAGTGGTTGCTGTGGAGGATTGGAGGCTGGAGCTGTATCTTCAGCTCCCGTTGATTCAGAAGCTCCTAAAGTATGGCCACTAGAAGAACCAGTCCCATCATCTTCACTATGAGTTAGCAACCTAAAACCAAATGACTGCCTCAGATTAAAAAAATTACTTGCCATTCTGCCGCTGCCTCAACTCCATTATTACCCGTCACTGACAAAGCATGTTCACTAGTATGAGACCACTATAAAATAGTGAGAATTCATAATACAACTCACGCTCTTTCCCGAGTAAAACCCATGTCAAGGAGAAGCTGGATATTATCAGCCATCTTTTTCAGTATTCACTAGTGGGTAGGCAGCTCCACCCAGACTTTCAAAAATAATTTTTTTCATTTTCTTAAAATTTTCATGTAGTACTTTCATTTTATGTAATTATGTAAATCTACTCTTGATAAATTTAAATAATTTAAAAAGCTTTGCATCAAAAGTACACTATTTGCATGCATGCATGCATTATAGTTCAGTTCAGTAATAGCCTGGTTTCTCTTTAATTACAGTAAAGGAGTCCACAATCTTTCCATCCTGCATTATTAAATAGCATTGCAATTAGATAATGTCCTTCACAATTTTCAGGCTTACCTGATCATCGCTGATCTGTTTAAAACTAACATGCGTTCCATTGTGAACAGTCATTTTTGTGAACCCGTAATCACCATTAACAAATGCAAGCCAGTCTGGTTGTTCATTGTAAGTATCATGACGCTCCCTGCAACCCTATATTGAATGGAATAATGATTATTGTACATGAACTATTTGAATTTGAGCCTTTACAGCAGATCCAGTGATTAAATGCACGATTCCTTTGGGATTAGTATAAGGAGCATCATATGATCCATTTAGTACCTAAAGTAGATATAAATTTTATGAAAATTAATCAATTCAATGTTAGATGTACCTGGTAATCATAGAGTGGCCACATTCTCTCGTAAATGTGCTTATGTCCAGAAACAAACATGTCCACTCCTAATTATAAAGCTATAATAGTTAGTAGTGCATTATATATTACCGACCATATTTATAAAATAGCTTCTCTAATGGGTCAGAATGAGCCACTAGTGTACCAGCACGAATCTTTGAGAAGACAATGATGCATAAGTACAAATGGTATTTGCATTATACTTACAATGCTGGCTCTACGATTGCAGTCACCAAAGCTAACAGTTGAGCAATACATTGGATGATGGGCCATGGCAATTATCCATGGCCTTTCAGCTAATGCTTCAGGAGTTGTAGCTTTCTAGAAAAACTGATTAAAGCAGTTTTTATTTATTATCAGCATTGTACTTTGAGATCTTGTTCAAGCCATTCATACTGGATCCCGATCTGTTTGACTCCAAATTCAATAAACAAATACACCTCTGTTGAGAACATAATGATGTGTGCCTTTCCAACATCAAAACTAAAAATATACATGAGCCAAAGTGCAGGCACTATGTGCAATAAATGAGTGGCATGCTATCTTAACGAGTTAAAATGCACACCTGTAAAAAATACTTTCATGTCCACCAGGCATGCTAAACCGATTTCTATAGTCAGAGAAATTTCTATGTAGATTAAGACATGATGATATACTTGATTTGAATTATACATACTGATAGTACTCGTGATTTCCTGGCAATGTCATGTATGGGATCTGTGTTGCAACACTTTGTATCATGTTCATAAAGTTGTCCCCTTTCCTTCCATCGTCCTCAAATATGTCATAAGCTAAATCCCCTACATGCAATATAGCATCAATCCCTCCAGCATTGACTTCTGCTCGTATCCTGGACATTGACTGAGCATTGTCATATCCAAAGTCTCCATAGACCAGGAAGACTGGAGAATAGTCTGGTCCACTTCCAAGAGTACGCATTGTGTACAGTGAGCTCCAGTTAGCTGATGAACCACACTGGTAATCTATTGCAAGAAAGCTGTTAAAACAAAAATGCTTAATTAAGCATACCATATTTAGTTGATGGCTTGAGGTCACTTAGTTTGACTCTATGGACAAAGCGTTTGACTTTTCCATCATTGAAATTAGTTGAATAGCCCGAGACTGGCTGCAATTTTATTGCTGATCCATGTAGACGCCACAGAACAGTTGAATCTGGAGTAGAAGCAAAGGTTATCCAAGTGACAATAACACTGGTGGGATCCTCTGCAGAGAGAGAAGCCAAACAAGTAACGGCCAACGTTTAGCTACAGTGGCTTACCTGTAGCAGCTATGTGTATCTGCTCGGGGAAAGTGGAGCCTTCAGACTGAATAGGAGCAACGAGAAAGATGAGGGCTAGAGAGAAGACAAAGCCTACGTTTTTAACCTCAGCCATCATGCCACAAAATTTAATAACAATATTCATTGACCTCTTAATTTAGTCAAAGTCTATTTATAGACCTGGTTACATAATAAATATAATGCACTACATTTGGCTATAATAAGAGCAGATATAAAACAGCAGCAATTGGTAGCTAAAACTCAGGGATGTCTAGTTTAATAATAGCCTGCTTTCTCCTTGATAAGAGTGAAAGAATCCACAATCTTCCCATTCTGCGATCAAGAAAATAGCTTTAATGACTTTTAAAGAAATTTCTTGCCTTACCTGATCATCACTGATCTGCTCAAAGCTAATTTGTGTTTTGCTATGTACAGTCATCCTAGTGTAGCCATAATCTGAACTAGTGAGTGCAACCCAATCAGGTTTGGGACTGAAAGTAGCATGGCGCTCTCTGCAGCCCTAGAATATCATGCAATTAACACTGGTATTTTAAGAAAACTAACAGCTGATCCAGTGACAATGTGTATTGGCCCTTTGGGATTAGTATAAGGAGCATCATAAGAACCATTCAACACCTATAAAGGAAATTGTATGCGTATCAATGGTCAACCTCTACACATAGCTATTAGTATAACCTTGTAATCATAAATTGGCCACATTCTCTCATAAATGTGTTCATGTGCAGAAATGAACATGTCCACTCCTATAATATTGATTAATTGGTAAAAAAAATGCATATAATCCCTGGTTTTGAGATTGATGTAGAATAGGTAGCTTACCATAGTTGTAAAATAATTTCTCCAATGGATAAAGATGCAAATCTGATGTACCAGTTCGAGTCTTGACAAGAAACAATTATATATTGCACCAATATATTTGTATTATCTACTTACAACGCTAGTCTTATGGTCACAGTCATTTGAATTAGTAGTAGAACAGTACATTGGGCGGTGACCCATCGTAATTATCCATGGCCTCTCAGATAATGCTTCTGGAGTTGTTGCTTTCTAAAATAAATTGAGCTCACGTAAAATTATTAGACTCATACTTTAAGATCTTCTTCAAGCCACTGATATTGAGTCTGGATCTGTTCCTTTCCGAAATCAGTGAAAAAGTATACTTCTGTTGAGAACATGATAAAGTGCACACTTCCAATGTCTATGCTGAAATATCATGCACCATATGTAAAAAGTCTATAGCACAGAGCAACTCCACCTGTAAAAAATTCCCTGATTTGCACCTGGCATGCTAAACCGGTTTCTGTAGTCAGAGAAATTTCTACAGTGCGAAAGTTAGAAAGGCTTTATTGGTAATTATTACAATACATACTGAGAGTACTCGTGATTTCCTGGCAATGTCATGTATGGGATCTGTGTTGAAACGTTTTGTATCATGTTCATGAAGTTGTCCCCTTTCCTCCCATCATCCTCAAACATGTCATAAGCTAAATCCCCTACATGCAATATAGCATCAATCCCTCCAGCATTGACTTCTGCTCGTATCCTGGACAGTGACTGAGCATTGTCATATCCCAAGTCTCCATAGACCAGGAAGACTGGAGAATAGTCTGGTCCACTTCCAAGAGTACGCATTGTGTACAGTGAGCTCCAATTAGCTGATGAACCACACTGGTAATCTATTGCAAGAAAGAATCTTATTTTAAGCATTTTGGGCTGTAGAGTCTACCATATTTAGTTGATGGCTTGAGGTCACTTAGTTTGACTCTATGGACAAAGCGTTTGACTGCTCCATCAGTATAATTAGTTGAATAGCCTGAGACTGGTTGCAACTTTATAGCTGATCCATGTAGACGCCACAAAACAGTGGAATCTGGAGTAGAAGCAAAGGTTATCCAAGTGACAATAACACTGGTGGGATCCTCTGCAGAGAGAGAAGCCAATCAAGTGACATGCAACTATATAGCTACAGAAGCTTACCTGTAGCAGCTATGTGTATCTGCTCGGGGAAAGTGGAGTTTTCAGACTGAATAGGAGCAATGAGAAAGATCAGAGCTAGAAAGAAGACAAAGCCTATGTTTGCAACCTCAGCCATCATAAACAGATTTAATAACAATATTCATTAATCTCTTAAATTTAGTCAATGTCTATTTATAGGCCTGGTTACATAATAAATATAATATTCTAAATTTGGCATGATATAAAACAGCAGCAATTGGTTGCTAAAACTCAGCGATGTCTAGTTTAATAATAGCCTGCTTTCTCCTTGATAAGAGTGAAAGAATCCACAATCTTCCCATTCTGCGATCAAGAAAATAACTTTAATGACTTTTAAAGAAATTTTCTGCTTACCTGATCATCACTGATCTGCTCAAAGCTAATCTGTGTTTTGCTATGTACAGTCATCCTAGTGTAGCCATAATCTGAACTAGTGAGTGCAACCCAATCAGGTTTGGGACCGAAAGCATCATGGCGCTCCCTGCAGCCCTAGAATATCATGCATTTAACACTGTTGCTTTAAGAAAACTAACAGCTGATCCAGTGACAATGTGTACTGGCCCTTTGGGATTAGTATAAGGAGCATCATAAGAACCATTTAATACCTATAAAGGAAATTGTATGCCACATATTAATGGTCAATCTGCACACATAGCTAGTATAACCTTGTAATCATAAATTGGCCACATTCTTTCATAATTATGTTCATGTGCTGAAATGAACATGTCCACTCCTAATAATGATTGATGGATGAAAAAATGCATTATAATCCCTAGCTCTGAGACTGATGTAGTATAGGTAGCTTACCATAGTTGTAGAATAATTTCTCCAATGGATAAAGATGCAAATCTGATATACCAGTTCGAATCTTGACATCAAAACAATCATGAATTGCACCAATATATTTGTATTATCTACTTACAATGCTAGTCTTATGGTCACAGTCATCTTGATCAGTAGTAGAACAGTACATCGGACGGTGACCCATTGTAATTATCCATGGCCTCTCGGATAACGCTTCTGGAGTTGTTGCTTTCTAAAAATAACTTGAGCTCACATAAAATTATTAGACTCATACTTTAAGGTCTTCTTCGAGCCACTGATATTGAGTTTGGATCTGTTCCTTTCCGAAATCAGTAAAAAAGTATACTTCTGTTGAGAACATGATAAAGTGTACACTTCCAATGTCTATACTGGAAGTATCATGTATCAAATAATACTGTAAGCACAGAGCAACTCCACCTGTAAAAAATTCCCTGATTTGCACCTGGCATGCTAAACCGATTTCTGTAGTCAGAGAAATTTCTACAGTGTGAAAGTTAGGAAGGCTTTATTGGTAATTATTACAATACATACTGAGAGTACTCGTGATTTCCTGGCAATGTCATGTATGGAATTTTTGTTGAAACATTTTGTATCATGTTCATAAAGTTGTCCCCTTTCCTCCCATCATCCTCAAATATGTCATAAGCTAAATCCCCTACATGCAATATAGCATCAATCCCTCCAGCATTGACTTCTGCTTGTATCCTGGGCAGTGACTGAGCATTGTCATATCCAAAGTCTCCATAGACCAGGAAGACTGGAGAATAGTCTGGTCCACTTCCAAGAGTACGCATTGTGTACAGTGAGCTCCAGTTAGCTGATGAGCCACACTGGTAATCTATTGCAAAAGAGCTATAAAAACAAAAATGCTTAATTAAGTATACCATATTTAGTTGATGGCTTGAGGTCACTTAGTTTGACTCTATGGACAAAGCGTTTGACTGTTCCAT